GCAGAAGGACGGCAGATCAGTTAGTGACCAGTTAGTGACCAGTGACCATATCAGTTAGTGACCACCAGACAGTGACCACTTAGTGATCAGTTAGTGACTGTGACCTCTAGGACACGGTCTCTAGAGGCAGCCTTCCTGAGTTCAAATCCACTTACCAGCTGTTGACCCCGGGCTATTTAACCCGTCTCTGTTCTATCATGTGCAAAATGGAGATAATAATTGTACCTACCTCACCGAGTAATCACGTAGACTGAGTTAGTTTTTGTAGATGCATGGGGCAGGCATAATACATAGCAGGAACTGTGTAAGTGATTGATAAATGACAGAATAAACACATCTACCATGGGCTTGGTATTGTGGTCGGGATTAGAATCCAAGGATAGAAAACTATATCTCCTATTACCTTTCTCCTTTAATGCATAAAGTTTATTAGTGAGAAGAGATGAGATTAGAAGCTGAGAAAACAGTGGTCCCAAATCTGTTGTGAGACAGAACACTTTTGCAAGATGCAATTCACAACCCCTCCTGAAAAGTCATTAGAGACCCTGATAAGCCACTGAACAGTTTTCTAACTGACTTTCATGGTATTTCAAGAGCCTTTCTGGGAATGTGGGGTTACGACTCAGCTGACTGTCAGTTTGGGGACTTGCCTACATGTTTAATTCATTTTGTGATCTTTAACCAGACATTTTCATACTGTATCTGCTTTTTTTTTTTTTCCTACAGAATGTTTTTACCAGCAGGAGGCATCACTGAGTTTGGTTTACTCAGCAACCTCTCTTTAAGCAGCTTGTTTGAAATAGAACCTCCAGGTGAGGTCAAAATCACTTTCCCTCTCTTTCCTCCTATCTCCTGTCTCCCGTCTTCCCTCTCCTTCCTTTGGAATGGAGAGACCCAGAGAAAACTTGAGACAGCCTGTGGTTCTCACATCTTAGCTTGCACCAGAATCACCTGGAGGGTTTGTTAAAACCCTGATTGCCGGGAGCCACTCCTGGAGTTTCTGATTCTGTGAATGTCAGTGAGGTCTGAGAATCTGCATTGCTACTAAGTTACCCGGTGGAGCAGACGGTGGCCATCCAGGAATCACACATGAGATAAACAATCTCAATGGAAAATTTTTTCAGCATGACCTTCAACCCAGGCACAACTTTTCTTTCCATCTCCAAACCCTAAAGCTCTCCCCACCCCTCCGGGAGAGGGAGTGGACTCAGACTGATAATCCCAACCCATGAAGTTGAAAGACAATCCCATTGGAGGGGAGGATGCTGAGTATATAATGTTAAAGGGATGTTGGGGAGGATAAAGAGGACTTTTCCTGGAGTATTTCAGTGGGAAATTCCCTGGGAGAATCAGGTTCTCACCCTGAGAAGCCACTTCTGAATCTCCACCAACTGGTGCTCTTGTGCGGGTTGGATTGGATCCATTTAAACTGGAGAAAAGGATTGGTTGAGTGTTCTTCATGACTCTCAGGAAAAGGTCGAGGCGCTTGACGTTTTTGAGCTGCAGCACTTTTCTCCAGGGGAAGGAGTGAGGAGACTGAGGGATCTGTGCGTGGCCCCAAATTCCCACTGATGTTCCCCAACACCCAGCCCCCCTGCCCCACCTCCCCACAGCCCTGCTCCATAGACGCAGGGGGAGGGAAAGGAGTACAGTCTGCCTGTGATAAGCATCCCTTCTCCCCATCGCTTAATTCCTGGAGGTGGAATATATCCAAAACTGTCCTCCCAAAGTTTCTCCTGGTTACAGGTTATTCGGGAAACAAATTTACTTTTACAAATACACCTCGTTCTCAAACCCAATACATGCAACATTTAT